ACCCCCCCTCCTGGCCGTACTTTCGGTTTGTTTCCCGGTAGCAGAGAACCCCTCCTTCCTGGATTTCTCCGCCCAGAGCCACCTCCCAGTCCCGCTTCCCCGCCTCCGAGAACAGCCTCAGCCCCTCCCGGCCGTCCAGGAGAGGATGGTCTAGAATCATCCACCACTTCCAACCGGAGTGGTCCCCAAAACCCGCTCTGGGGGTCCTCAGTGCCCTGCCCCGCTCCCGGGGCTGTTCCCCCACCTCAGAGAGGTTTTCCACATCCCTCTTTCCCCTGGGAGGAGCTGTGTCCTGCCTCTCCTCTGCCCCTTCTGCAGGGCATCGATACCCCCCAGCCATCTGCACCATGGGGACCATGAAAGAGGGACCACCACAAATGGGGAATGGCCACGAGTGGGGGAACCTCATGAACAGGGGAGTGCCGGGAGCACTCGGGGTTAATCTAGCCTGAAATCTCCAAAGGGAGAGGGCTCGGTGGGGCACCACTGTCACCTCCCCTTGGGGCTTTTGATGCCTGTAGGACCTGCAAAGCTAAGCCCAGGCTGGTGCCATCCCATCCTATGCTTGGAAGAAGACATTTAGCAGGTGGCTCAGCCTGATTGAACCCATGAAACGTTTCAATTTGAGACATTTTAATTTTGGAAATATTCTCTTGCCCCACCCCTGCCAGCAGCCCCTGGCACAGACAGGCAGCAAGACCACTTCTGCACATCCCACTGGTCCAGTAGAACATCCTGGGGGCTGGTAAAGCTGCCTGAACCTCCAAGAAATTTTATTAACCCCTGGGGTGCTGTTGGGAAGCTGAGTATCCCCCAAAGAGATCACGCCGAGTCCTGACAACTCTTCCTCACTGTGGAAGGACTTCATGTACTCCTCGTGACCACATGGTGAGATGGAGTCACACCATGCAGCCTCCTTGACTGGCTGCAGCTCCTGCACCCTGGCTGGCACGTGACCTCTTGACACAGCACCCTGGGGTCCCTTCGGGGAAACTGAGGCACAGACGGGTTCACCCCCTTCTGCCTGCAGAAGTCACCAGCCCATTGCTGCCCAAGCGCAAGGCTGCAGGTTGATTGTCCAGTGAGGGTCGATAGAAAGAAAGCTTCCAAAATAAATAAAAATCTATATATACCTATATACAGTCCACACGCCCCCGTGGACAGACCTCACAGCTCACATGCAAAAGCTCATTGGAGCACAAATTAGCACAATCACTTATTACAAACCGCTGTGTTGGGAAGGCTCAGGTACCTCCAGGTAGGTCATTCCCCAAATTGCCACCTCTGCTCCTTCCCCATAAATGGGAGTGCCACTCTGGACCTCAAGTTCCAGCCCGCTGGTGGCATCCCAGCCTAGGACACCTCTCGTGCCTCACTTTGGCTGCCTACTCCACCCCATGATCTCCATCCTTGGCTGCAGTGTCTCCAAGGTCTCCTCTATCCAACCTGCTCAGCTCGTGCCCCTTCCAGTCAGAGACGCCCAGCCATGCAGCCTGTTGTGGCTACCAGCTACCATCGATCTGTGCCCTGGTAGCATGTTGGCCAAGGGACCTGGAAGCAAACTGGCACGTGCTGGAGTGACAGCTGGCTCCCATCCCGTAATGTTGCAGGCAAAGGCTGGTCAGGGGAGGTAAAGTCATGGAGAAGGACAGGCTATGGAGTTCAGCCTCAGTTTCCCTGCTCAGGTCTTCACCCGACTCCTGCAGCCTCCACAGGGAGAGCAACAGGATGCCAGCAGGACAAGGCCCCCACCAGGCAGCAGCCCTGCGTGTCTCCCCACCATCACACACGTTACAAAGACACACACAGACACGCACCCGCGCCCACACTCTATCTCTGTTGCTTCATTGCCTTGACCAGCTCCTCCAGCTTCAAGGCGAGGTGCAGGTCGCCTTTCACCTGCAGCTTCCCACTCATGTAGGCACTCAAGGGGCGCAGGTCACCCAAGAAGAGGTCCTGCAGGTCTTTCTCTGCCACCTCCAGAATGACATCGGGGCTGCCCTGGGGCACACCACGGCCAGCCTGCCCACGGCCTGTAGGACATGATGGGTGGGAGAAAAAGAAACAGTAGGCTTCAAGATACAGCTTTGCCTGCTGGTGTTTCCCCCCATTGTTTCATAAGGATTGAGTTGGGTCAGATAGACATGGGCTTGGCAGGGTGATTTTGGAGACAGGAGTCCTTACTCCTTACAGAGATCATTTTCTCTTGTGCTGCTCCACTAGTGTCCTGTTATCGTGGCCCGACTCAAAGCCCTGTCCTACTTTTGCCATGGCCACAAGGAAAATCATCAGCAATTCTAGGGGGATGGATTAGGGTGCTGGGAGGACATCTTCCAGCATGGCAGTGGCCCAAGGCCCTGCCCACACACATCCCTCTGTCACTACCCCCTTGGGCTGGTGACATACAAAAGCCAACAAACCCTAAGGTCTCTGAGCCACCCCTCTTAGCCAGCCACGAGGAAACCTGGCTGCCAATCTTCTACCAATGATCACTTTCTGAAGGAAAATTTGTGGTTTTAACCCAATTCAAATTATACTTTGGACTTCCAGGGAGCACGGACTTGTGGCTTTGCAGCATGCGTAGGGGGCACAAGCATGAAACACCCTCCCACACAGCAACCCCCAAAGAGTGGTGACCTGAGGAGAGGTCTATGAAGTAGGTGCTCTGGGAGCCACAGGGCAGGGCGATGTTGACCTGGTAGGATGCTCCCACCTGGCCCACCAGGGCCTCGGAGAGGACAGGCTCCACTGCCAAGAGCAGCTCGTCCATGCCGGTCTTCCTTCCAAGGAGGGGAGCAGTGGGAGGCTCCACTTCGCTCACCATCTCCACTCTATCTGCTGGGAACAATGGGAGAGAAGTGAGTTGAGGAGTGAAATGCTGGGGTTTGAGCCCCGAATTAAGGTTGACATATGGGTGATTCCCACAGCCCTTCATAAAGAGGTGGTGAGTTTGCCTTATAGCTTCCCCCCAGGGTGCCGCCGGCCCTGCAGGGAGACCGCTAAGGGAAATGAACCGCA